CACCTCCTCGCTTAAAGCTCACTTCCTCCTTATCTCACCGCCGACCCTCTCTAGCAGCTTCTTCCTCCTTCTCGCTGATTGGCTCCGAGCGCCTATTCCCCGCCCACTGTGCGAAACGGCGTGCTCCCATTGGCCATCACGGCGGCGGCGGCGCGGGGTGCCGAGGCAGCGTTTCCTAGCAGCGGGCGCCGCCATGGCGCCGCGGCGCGGCGGGCCCGTGGGGTACGCGCTGCTGTGCGGGCAGGCCCTGCTGCTGCTCGGTAACCTCCTGCTGCTGCACGGAGCCTCCCGGGGGCTCCCGCACAACGGCACCGAGCCCGACCCGCCCGCACCGCCTTCGTGGGCCTACACCGACCCGCAGGCGCCGCTGGTGCTGTGCACCTACCTGTGAGCACCGGGATGGGATGAGGCGGGGGGGGGGAAGCGGCCTCTTCTCCTTCCTCCTCCTCCTCCTCCTCACCGGCCGCCTTCCCCGCAGCCCCGAGGAGTTCGTGGAGTGCGAGGAGCCGGTGGACCACGGCGGCAACGCGACGGCGCAGCAGGAGCTGGGCCACGGCTGCGTGAAGGTGAAGGGCGGCGGGAGGGAGGGAGGGAGGAAGGAAGGAAGGGAGGAAGGCCCCGAGCTGAGCGCCCGTTGCTGCCGCAGTTCGGCGGGCAGGCCTACGGCGAGGTGGACCACACGCGGGTGCAGTGCAGGGCGCTGGACGGCATCGAGTGCGCCGAGCCAAGGAGCTTCCTGCGGGGCAGCCGGCCCTGCGTCAAGTAGGATGCGGTGTCGTCCCCCCTCCCCGCCCCGTGTACCCCCTCCCATCTCCGGTTCCCCTTGTTCCCCCCCCAACCCCAACGGCTGCACCGCTGCCGGCCCCCCGCCGGAGGGAGCCCCGCGGTAAGCAACGAGCTCCCGTTGCAGGTACACTGGCCACTACTTCATCACCACTCTGCTCTACTCCTTCTTCCTGGGCTGCTTCGGAGTGGATCGGTTCTGCCTCGGCCACACCGGGACCGCCGTGGGGAAGCTGCTGACCCTGGGCGGGCTGGGGATCTGGTGGTTCGTGGATCTGATTCTGCTCATCACCGGCGGGCTGATGCCCAGCGACGGCAGCAACTGGTGCACGGTGTATTGAGAGAGCTGTGCGGCCCCCGGCGGTGGCTCCTGGGGGCTGGAGATGGACCCCACTGCATCAGGACAGACGCTGGCCTCACACCAAAGCTGTATCGTGACGTGCAGAGCAATTACTCCTCTTAATGTACAAACCTTGGACACGGATTTGCTCAGGATCTTGTTTTGCTTGTTTGAAGTAATCTGGATCTGAAGGTGGTCAAACAAATCCTTAATAAAACCTGGAAGGAGCGGAGGCCACGTCCCTTCAGTCTTGGCAGAGTCCATCCAGCCACCCAGAGGCACAGCCACTGGTGTGTAGGGTTGTGGTCCTGGGCTTTGCAAACCCTTCAAGTTGAGTAACACGATGTTCTAGAGGCTCTGCTGAAGGGGTGAGTTCTACATTACCGGTTTAAACTCATGTTTCCTGGGTTAGATTGAGCAGGAGAATCACTTTGTGCTCTCTTGCAGGCAAGCAAAACCACGGTGCAGCCATCACAGTCACTAGCCAGGCTTCTCAAAAGCAACGCTTGCTTCTGTTGATGTAACTCCGTGCTCATGCTATAGAAACATCAGCCACGGGACACTGTGACCACTGCAGAGTGGTACAGGGCTTATTTAAACGACCTCCTCCTCCCCTGCCTCGTGGTCTTTAAATCCCATGACCCTGCAGTGGTGACCATTTGTGTTTTACAAACCTGTTAAATCCCAGCTTTGCCTCCTTAGGCAAAGGAGTGAGGGCTCGTTTCCACTCAGAGCTGCAGGGAAGGGCTGGAGCTCCCATCTGTGTGCTCCTTCCAGCTCCACCCCACTGCACAGGGTGCTGGTACCAAAAGGAGCGGGAGCTTCAAGCAGCCTGACAGCCAAAAGAGGAAGAAGCCCCACCAGATGCAGGCTAAAAGCTACTGAGCTGACTAAGAACAGGAAGAGGAAGCTGCAGTTAAGTCACAGCCAGAACCACACACAAAATCCATACGTGCACAAATCCTGACCCGTTTGATGTAAACCTCGGCAGATGCACGTGTGCTGTTCTCACATGGTTCTGCAAACTGAGCACCCTCCCATTGTCTCATTTCTGCCTCTGTTACTCCTGTTGCTGCCTCCAACGGAGCTGCAGCAGGGCTGGGAATTCTGCCCGTTCCAGTTTTGGTTTGTGGTTTCTTGCAGCAACGCCTCCTCTTTAGGGAATGGGGATCAGATCCCATTTAGGTCACGAGTAATCTGCATTTGGCAGCTTTCAATAGGTCTCAGGGCAGTGTGGGGTTGCGGGGGGGAGGCTCCATTGGGAAGCTTCCACATTCCTCAGGCCACTGGAACAACAGTGCTGAAAAGCCCATGGTGGGGGAAGAATTCTACAGTGAGCCAGGGAGAGAAATCCCAACAATCCCATGTGCAAAAGCCCATTGTTATGAGCATCCCCCACATCCTCAGCCCAGCAGCTGCCAGCCAACAGCAGGACATCACGTTCCTCTGGTACACGAGGCTGCTGTGGACCACAGTGGAGAGCAAGGGATGGGATTAGTCTCTGTCCCCTCATTTTCTAGCAGTGAGAAACGAGATCAAAACCTCTTTAACAGCAGCAGACGCGATGCCCCTTTGGCCTCCCCTCGGTGCTTTCCCTACTGAAGCTGGTGCTCACCCCTCCTGGCAAACAGCACCCAACAGACACAATGCAAACAGCCTGGAAAAGCAACTGGGATTTCCTTCTTTATTAAAAAACACAGGGGAAAAAAAAAGGGGAGTTCAATCTCCTGCAGGAGTTACAGGTGAGGGATGGGAGGTGGGTACCGGCACCATGCAGCATCGCTCACGCGAGGCCCATGGCACTAAGAGCACTTGAATCCACAGCTGAAACCACCCTGGCGTTCCCATAGCAAAGAGCAAACCCATCTTCACACCCCTCTTCCCACACCAGACACCTCAAACCTTGCACGCATCCCTAGGAAAGCAGGAGGCACACCCAGAGATGGGGACAGCAGTTTTGCTTCAGACATCACCACAAAGCTCCATCGAGGTCCATCTGCACTTGCTTGGTCCTTTGGGATGGGAGAGAAATTCCTCCCTGTAACACCACCCATGTTACAATGAGGCTGGAGCCTGGCTCGGCTTTGGACACGTTCATCTCAAATTGAGACTTCACATAGTCCTGGGGATGTGGGGAGGGTGGGAATGAGAAACAGGGATGTTGCAACAGCACTGGAGCCTCTGGTAGTTTCTCCTCCTGGATAATTAACCCTAATTGTGCAACAAGCTGCTGCTTTCCCATCCCAGGCCCCGGGAATCTTTGCAATTATCAGGCAACACCAACACTTGGTACTGCACGGGTTTGAAGCCTGGCACGAAGTAAACCCCATCCCTCTGCATTTGGTGCATCCAGAAACGAGGCCAGAGCACTAGCGCCGAGTGCTGCGACAGTGATTGACCCAATCCCTAAACCATTCCTGAAACACCACGTCAGGAGCCAAGCCAGCCTAAAAATCTCAAACACTCATGCAAATAAAGCCAAAAGAAGGAAGAGCATCATCTAGGGTTCTACAATTAAATAACAAACACTCACCCTGTACCGTTTGCATTGATTCCTGCTTGGTTTCATAGTTTCAGTGTTCTCCAGCATCTCCACGCACCCCCCTGAGTGTACTCCTGACCTCAGGGGGGTCCTATCACTGCCACCCCCCCAGGCTGCCTGCTGAAGCAGCCCCCCTGATGCAGGCAGATGCAGTTTTAAACTTGCTAAGCTCAGTCAGGCTCCTTAGAGCTCAATTGCTAAAGCTTTGCCCCATCCCAGGCTGAGCTGGAGCCCTGGGAAGGGCAGGGACACACTGGATCTATGAGCTGAGAACATGTTGTGACAAGGAAAAAGAAAGGAAAACAAAAGGGGAAAGCTTTCCCACCCCTGCCCGTGCTGCTTTCCACAGTGCAAGGACATCACCAAGATCATCACCCCACCACTAACCCGTGGCACTGAGGGCCTCAGGTCACACCAACACAACCTGATGCTGACAGCAGGGATGGGGAGCTGCGTCCTCACTGGTACCCAAGGACTGCACACGCATTTCAGGATGAGGATAACAATCTCACTACCCAGGGAATACCTGAATCTACACTCTATTTATCACACCTGCTACAGGAGCTGGTTTGGGTATGGAGATGACAAGTTCACGTTGAGCAGAAGACTTCTGCTCATGCCATTAAACACTCCTGTTTCATCGCTGTTTGCTCAAAGCACTTCACCCCCCAGGCAAGGGTGCCCAGAGCAAAACCAACCCCATCCCTGAGCATCCCCAGAGCCACCGCTGCTCCAGAGGTACCAACAAGCCTCTTGGAGGAGCTGAGCCAGGGCTGGGGTTTTTAACAGTGGCCACAGGTATCAAAGGACATCATTAAAAACCAACAAGGATGTTGATGCACCAGAGCACGCAGAGCTGTTCTCCTGGGGAAGCTGCAATTGTCCTTGCACAGGCAGCTCTGCCCAGCTGCCCAGGGAAGGATGAGCAGCACAAAAGGGGATGAAAAACAGGTTTTGCCCCAAACACAAGAAAGGCCACGCTCCCCTTACCCCCTCCGAGACCTCCTGATGCTTCCTTACACTTGGCTTTGGAGGGAGAATATGAGCATGCAGAAGATGCCCCCTCTCATTCAGGCCATGCTGGGGACCAGCACGGAGGCAGCTTCTGAAACACGGAGGCACTGGGTGGGGAGCAGGCAGGACCCGGCTCCCCAGGGTGCTGGGATGCGGGGTCCAGCCGGATCCTGCATCGCAAGTGATGGAGGGATGGGGCCACTTCACCCCGCTGAGAGGATGGGAGCGAGCTCGGTCCTGAGCGCACACATGGAGCATCCTGAGGGCACGCTGCACACCCCCGACACCCCCCCCCCCCCCCCAAGCAGGCGGGGAGGGGATGGCCCCGCTCACACGTCGGAGGTCCGGATGCTTTCATCATCCAGGTCGAAGGCAAAGGGCTTCTCCTTGAGCTGCTGCGGCTCCGACTTGTGCCGCACGCGGGTGCCCGGCGCGGCTCCGGCATCGCGCTCCGGGAGGACCGGTGTGAAGAGCGAGTCCCGGAGCACCTCCGCCTGCTTCCCCGGCACCGGTGTCCAGGGCTGCCAGGAGGAGCTGGCGGGGGCCCGGCACAGCGCCCTCCTCTCCTCCGCCACCGGCCTCTGCTGGGATTGGGATGAGGAGCCCCCGGGTCTCCCCATGGATGTGGATCGCATGAAGGACATCTCCTGCAAGGACACAGGTGGGTTTGTGCGTGCGGTGCAGGGAGCTGTTTGGGGACCAGCACCAGGCCCTTTACACATTGAAAGGGGATAACATAGCCCTAAGCAAGCTGGGAGTTTGAACTAAAACAGCTTTTTGCCATCAGTCGGGGTCTTGCTTGTGCCTCAGTGCAGAGCAGGGATTGTGCCAGTCCTGTTCAATGGGAGATTTTCACTTTTCCAAGGAAATGAACACAGAGAGGGCAGGGATCTCCTCCTGGAAGCGGGTACCCGAGCACTAGCACCATCCACTAAGTAAGTGTCTCCTACATTGGCATGATCCTCATTTGGCACTGCACATGAAGCAGAAGGGATGTGACCTACCCTGGGGTGGGTTTTCAGCGCCTGGACTGCCCCTGTGATAGCTCGGATCCAGCTGTGCATGTCCTCAGGGCTGTCTGCCTGCAAAACACACCAGCCCCAGTGAGGCTTTGCCTCCCTGCAAGCCCCCAGTGCCACCGGGCCTGATCCCCACCACATGGACCCCTAGATGTATCCAAGCTTAAACATCACCACAACACCCCATCTTCCCCTGTAGAACAAGGGCCACTCTCCACATCACAGCATTTTCATATCAGGAATAGATAAAGCAGTTAAGGGACAAGAACTGGGGTGTTACCAACTGGGTCTGTGTCTGCCATGAGCCCCGTGCACACGGGCACCTGCATCCACAGCATCGCACATCGGCTGCTCTTTGGGTACCGAGCACGCAGCATCCCCAGCGTGCTGCTGCCTCCAGCAATGCAAGAGAGTGGGCAAAACCTGCTCGTTGGATCTCCCTGTGCTGGGCTCTGCTTTTCCTGCTCACACAAATCGCTGCTGGTATAAATAAGCCCAAGGGGAGAAGTGAAACCACGCAGCTCTGGGTGAAGATGCCACAGCCTCATCTGGTGTTTGGGGGTAAGAGGCTGCTGGGGAATGGCCCCTCTGCAGCAGCACAGGCTGGGGAGAGCAAAGCTTAATGCCCAGAGACACAACTGCCCTGGTGCTCACCTGGATGTAGAAGGTCCTGGAGGTTGTGATAATTTCAAAGAGGTTGTCTCGCATCAGGAGGTCGCTAGGGACAGAAAGAGACAATCACTGCCCAGAAACCATTGTGGATGGAAAGTGATTGGGTTTATCCAAGGGGAAACCTTGGATCTCAGTGGGGTTTTGGGAAGACTCCAGCTCCCCACAGACCTTCAGCTACACACACACCCCAACTTCTGCTGCCTGCAGGTAACCCCCCCCTCCAGACCCAGGGCTCCAGCAGGGCAACACAAAGAGCATTACCCAGACTTGACCAGGCACTCATGGGTCTTGCAAACATCCTTCAGGAGAATGGAACGCAAGGGCTCCTTGTCCTGCGGAGGCAAGAGGAGATGCTGATGGGCTTGGCTGGCCTGGGACGTGCCCCTGCGGAGCATCCCGGGCTGCTCACCTGCTCACACTTGTAGTAACTGATGGAAAACTCATCCAGAACGAAGTAACGGCGCTTCCAGCTCTTCCTCTGGATAAAAGAGGAGGAAACCGCTCAGTGCTGAGCTCCACACCGCCTGCTCCTGCATCCGGAGCATCCCCGCAACATCCCCGCAGCATCCCCGCAGCACCCCCGAAGCATCCCCGCAGCATCCCCAGAGCATCCCTGCAGCATCCCCAGAGCATCCCTGCAGCATCCCCGCAGCATCCCCAGAGCATCCCTGCAGCATCCCCAGAGCATCCCCGCAGCATCCCCGGAGCATCCCCAGAGCATCCCTGCAGCATCCCCGCAGCATCCCCAGAGCATCCCCGCAGCATCCCCGGAGCATCCCCGCAGCATCCCCAGAGCATCCCCGCAGCATCCCCAGAGCATCCCCGCAGCATCCCCAGAGCATCCCCGCAGCATCCCCAGAGCATCCCCGCAGCATCCCCAGAGCATCCCCGCAGCATCCCCAGAGCATCCCTGCAGCATCCCCGCAGCATCCCCGCAGCATCCCCAGAGCATCCCTGCAGCATCCCCAGAGCATCCCCGCAGCATCCCCGCAGCATCCCCGCAGCATCCCCGCAGCATCCCCAGAGCATCCCCGCAGCATCCCCAGAGCATCCCCGCAGCATCCCCGCAGCATCCCCAGAGCATCCCCGCAGCATCCCCGCAGCATCCCCAGAGCATCCCCGCAGCATCCCCAGAGCATCCCTGCAGCATCCCCGCAGCATCCCCGCAGCATCCCCAGAGCATCCCTGCAGCATCCCCAGAGCATCCCCGCAGCATCCCCGCAGCATCCCCAGAGCATCCCCGCAGCATCCCCGCAGCATCCCCGCAGCATCCCCGCAGCATCCCCAGAGCATCCCCGCAGCATCCCCAGAGCATCCCCGCAGCATCCCCGCAGCATCCCCAGAGCATCCCCGCAGCATCCCCGCAGCATCCCCAGCCTAAAGGGATGCAGGAAGCCCAGAGCCCCCGCCTCGAGCTGCACCCCAGCACTCACCACGTTCCCCTGCTTCACGCAGTAGCCACTCTTGAGCGGGGGGGGCCCTGCCGGTGCCTTGGTGGCCGAGGGGGGGACGTAGCTCTGCGAGCGCCGCAGCAGTGGGTGCGTGGCCACATCACCGCCGTCCCCTGCGTCCCCCCCGTTCTGGAACAGAGCACACAGTCAATGGGGACAGCAGGGATAGGGGGGGGTCCCTGCTAGGATGGAGGGAAGAGCAGCAGCGAGCGCTGAGCCATGGGCTGGTTGCAATGCCTGGGTGATGAAGCAGAGCTGATGTCTCGCTGCATGCAGGCTGCTTGCTGCCCAGAGGGCTGCTCACCCTTTTGGTGCCCACGTGTTAAAAGCAACGTGAAGAAGTTGGAAAGGTGATAAGAGAAGTGATTTGAGGGCTGCAGAAAACCCCTTGCAGCAGTGGGGTTAAAGGATATCCCTTCGCTACCCGGCTTATCCCACACTGAGAGGTCAAGCCACTGCAGCACAGACCTTCTAGGGGATACAAGGCACAAGGAGCTCCTTCATCCCACAATGGGAGGCAGAGCAAAGGAAGCTGGAGCTGGACAAATCCAGGTTAGAAAGCAGGGATGCTTTCCAGCCAGACAAGGGGATGTATCATGGGAATACACTCAGGAAAGCCATGAACTCTCCACAATTCCACAGCCAAATCCTCCCAGAAGAGCCTGGGATGGCTGGAGTTCAGGCAGAAAACCTGACCTTCCTCTACCTGCAAGCTGTCTGTGCAGAGGGACACATGGCCATGTGCCCAGCACCCATCCCCGGGCTCACCCCCAGCACATGCCAAGGGCCAGATCCTGCTCTCAACATCACCCCTGGCTCCTCCATGCTGTCCCTGGTAGTGCCCTCCCTTTCCCTTTGGCAGTGCAGAGGATGGTTGAGATAAAGCACGTGTCCAAAGGCAGATCTGGTGCAATGGGGATGGTTACACCCAGGATGGAGGGATGCTGCTGGTGGGTCCAGCAGTGATGACCCCTTGGGAAAGAGAGGAATTGTGTGAGGATGGAGCTGGAGCTGCTGTGGAGGCAGCAGAGTCAAGGCAGGAGGAAAGAGCAGCTTTAACCCACAGAGACAAAGAGGAAAAGTCCCAGAGCTGCTGCCAACCGTCTGCCGACAGCAGAAAACCACAGCCACCACCTCCTCCTCTGCTCTATTTTTAGTGCTGATAAGAGCTGAAGCGAGACCTGGAGCCAGATGGGTGCCCCTTTAAAGGTGGGAGACACCGACAGCCATGAAGGGAAGGGGACACACAAGGGATGGATCAGTCCCTTTGGCTTCGGGGTCCCTCTGCCCCAGGTGCCTCGATGGGGGATGTGGATGGGTCAGGATGATTTGGAGCCTCCTCCTCCTCACACCTCCTCATCTCCTCCCGCTTCAGAGCGGGACAAAGGGTGCTAAGTGCAGCTATTTATACAGCCCTGAGCAGTGGCGAAGGGTTTGCAGGCACCAAGCTGGCTGCCAGAAATGCAAGTGCAAACCAAGAGCCCAAACCAGCATCACGGAAAGGTTTGGGTTGGAAAGGACCTTGAGATCACCCCGTTCCAACCCCCTGCCATGGGCAGGGACGCCTCACACTAGACCATGTCACCCAATCTGGCCTTGAACACTGTCAGGGATGGAGCATTCATAGCTTCTCTGGGCACCTTGTGCCAGTGCCTGTAACAGGGAAGAGCTTATATCCTTATCTCCAACCTGAACTTCCCCTGTTTCAGTCTGAACCCATCACCCCTTGTCCCATCACTCCAGTCCCTGATGAAGAGCCCCTCTCCAGCATCCTTTGATGCTCATTCCCTTAGGAATCGGGCTCTTAAAGCACAGAGAACAGAGAGACCAAAGCAGGGCGCTGGCACCGCAGGGATTTCAGCCCTGGGATGGGGATCCTGGCTGCTCACCTGGTTGATGGAGATGGGGGTGTGGACCACCACCCCCCCGATGATCTCAGTTTTGTAGGCGACCTGCGGCTTCCTCTCCTGCGCCTGCGGCACCACAGGAGGCTTCCTGATCTCTGTGGCCGCTGGGATGCTACCACCCTTTGGCACCTATTGGAGAAGGAAAGGGGTGAAAGGCGCCGCTGTGACCATCACCTCCATCCTCCCCAGTGAAGCAGTAAAACCCACTCCATGAACAAGCCACCCCAATTAGGGCAGGTGTGGTCGGCAGGAGGCAAAGATGGGAGATGAGGTGTGAGAACCAGGGAGCATCACCTCACATGAGCGCAGCTCAACGCCTTTGTGGGACACTTGCTCCTTTAATTGCCCTGCTCTAATTACAGCCTGGCTGAGCTGCAGCGCCTGCAGGGGGTTCACACACTGAATCCTGTGTTTCCTGAGCCCATGCACTCAGCTTGGTGCTGAGGTTGTGGCATTTAATGTTATTTGAGGACCAAAGAAGCAAAGAGAAGCCAGGTCTGCTCTTGCACGTTGGTTTCCCCACTGCGACTGCACCGCAGTGATTTTAAACTAAGAAAGAAGTTTAGGATAGGGCCTGATCCTCAATTGTTTGCCATGATTTTTCCTTACAGTTTACAAGCCACGCTTCAGTGCATGGTCTCATAAACCCCTGCTAGCATTAAGCACGGCAATACTGCTAACTGCAGTCACACAGATGCCTGCAGCACCCCAATCTTTCCCCAGGAACAACCCCTCCATACCCCAGTGTCTACAGCCGAGCATCACACTCGGATGGGGCTGCTCCTGCTGCATGGGAATGGGATCCCCATCGCCAGGAGCAGCGGGTGGCTGAGGAGCGCTGGTACCGGGTCAGTGACCATGAATTCATGGTTCTATGAACACAGCAGTAAACGAGAGGAGATTGAGGACGAGCTTGCGTGGATGCAGGCACCGTGATGCCCGGGCAGCGCAGGGCATTGGCTGCAGCTCATCACAACCTCCCGTGACCCAGAAAGAGTGAAAATGGAGTAAATAAACGAGTGGAGCGCAAGGAAGATGCCCTTGGAGTGGGTTACAATCCCTCCAACAGGAGGGAAACGGCCCTGGAGCAGGTGGGATGGGGATGGCTCCAGCAGGACCTTCCCCATGGAACAAGCCACTGTCCCCTGCCCCAGCAGCTGAGCAGGGAGGCTGAATACAGGAGCAAGCAGCAGCAAAGTAAACCCCAACCAGGAGGATCCCTAGGGATGGGGCGGGGGGAACATCCCCTGTTTGAGAGGGGGTCACAATGAGGATCCTAGAACCTAACCCTGCCCTGGTGCAGCTTGAGGCTGTTACCGCAGCAGGCTCTGACCCAGGGGCCCATCAAGGCAGGAGCCAGCAGCATCAGCTGGAGCAGAACCCAACGCACCGTGATCTTACTGGCCCTGTTCAGAGCCTCCACCCAGTCCTGCAGGTCCTGCTGGTCACTGGCTTGCAGGAAGTAGCGCTGGGATAAGGCGTTGATAACTACGGAGAGAGGAGCCAGGGAATCCAGAGCTTTGCATCATTAAACACAACAAACAGCGAATCAAAGAGCTCCTCCCAGCTCCGTTCCCATTTGCAGGTATCAGTCCCAAGCTCTCGCATGGAACTCTTCATCTCGGGCTATATCCCTTGTGGGGAAGTGTTGCAAAGGCAACGCCGTTCCCTTGGGACAAGTAGGTGCTTGTGCTGTCGTTGCTGGTACTTTAAACCCAGGTTCACGGCTCATACACGCAGCGCAGGGTTGGATGGGATACAACACCCCAGTCCCATGCACCAACAAGAACAGGAGCTTATGCAGGCATTAGAAAGGAGAAGAACCCTGTACTGCACATGGGGCACATGGAAGGGGTTGGGAAGCACAGCAGAGGCAGGGAACCACCGCAAAGGGGGGACCCTCAGGGTCCTGCCTCCCCCACTGAACAGGGGGGTCACAGTGACAGGACCAAACGGGAGCATCCCCCTCCCTTCCTGACCATTGCTGGCAGGTCCCATGGGCATAGGGAGGGCTCCGGAGGGGGGGGGGGCACCCATAACACAGCACCCACCGGGGTCCCCTCACTCACCAAAGCAGAACGGGGTTTTGGGCTTCTGTTTCGGGGTGGCGATGCTGACCTGCAGCAGAGCACAGGGAGGAAAACACTAAAGGTGATGGAACGTGATGGGAGAGCCAGGTGCTTCCATCCCCATCCCTGGGATGGAGAGGAAGCCGCTGCTCCCCGAGCTCCAAGCCAGGCCACGCTTCCCATTCCCCCAGCAATGAGCATGGAGCCAGGGGAAGTGCAATGAGGAGCTGAGGCAGCTAAAGCACAACCCAGCCTCGAGTTTGTGCCCGAAACCTTGTCCTGCAGCAACTTCCATTTAGCCCAAAACGTATGGAATTTGTGAGCCAAACGGGGAAGGTTCAGCTCTGGCGTTGCTTCATCTGTGCTTAATTTATAGGGCATGATTCAGCAGGAGCAGGGAGATCTGCCCCATGCTCCATCCGGCTCCGGAGGGAGCTGAGCCCGCATCCCTGCATCTCAGTCACCAATAGGTTCTTACCTATTGCACTTTACCTGCCTCCCCGTGGAAGCTGGATAATGCCATTAAGACACTCAAAGAGCTTCCCAAAGGAACTCATCCTTCAGGATGCTGCCCTTTAGCACTCAGGCTCCCATCGCAGGAGCAGGACGAGCCGCTGCCTCTCCCGGGATAGCCGCACGGATACAGGGACAACAGGGACATTACCTTGGAGATGTAGGTGAGCTGCAGGGAGCCGACAGCTCCCGCGCCGACAGCCAGGTTCTGCAAGGCAACAGGAGTTAAATGACAGGGAGAAGGTACAAGGGTGCGGGCTACCCATCAGCATCCCTGCAGGCATCTCCCCTTCCCTTTAGTGAGCAACCCACGGCGCGATGCTCCTCAGGAACGCTGCTGCCAGCCCTGGCAAGCACTGGGGCAGCTCCAGATGCTGGGCACAACAAGCACTGATTCCATCCCCACCAAGCACCCAGCTCCCAGTCCGATGCCTGCAGCACGACAGCGCTTCCATAGGTGACGAGGAAAACCCCTTCTCTTTCTTGTGACCACAGCATCCTTTCTTGTAAGCACAGCACGCACGGATGCGGAGCTGGGAGCAGCACGGGTGCGTACCTGGGGGTTGTCCATGTACCACAGGAGGCAGTTGGCCTGGGTGTCCAGGATGAAATACCTGCGCAGGAACTTGCCACAGGTCTCATTCTCTTCAATGTCCAGGAAGCCGCAGATACGGTTCTGCCGGTCCAGGTACGGCATTCCGGGCTCCTTCTCACATCACCCTGCGGAGCAGGGACAGCGAGAGGTGGGTGCTCTGCTCCATAGGGAGCCATCCCAATTGGTATTGATGCAATGAGATGGATGCAGCCAAGCTAACAAGAGGGAGAGGGCAGGGATAACCTGCCAAGGGTTATCCTTACTTGCCTGCCCTTGCTGAAAACCGAGGCATCTCCAGAACCCCATAGAAATGAGCATCAGTCCCCAGCCCCACACGAGGCTCAAAGGAGGAGCTGGGGTTTCCCTCCTCTGCCTCACATCCCATTGCAGGTCCCACTTCCCAGCCTTGCCCAAACCTCCGGTTGCCTCTCCCCATCCTCCTGGATTAACACACGGGAAGCAAAGCCAAACTGCTACCGCTGCACGCTGCTCCATGGGGACGCTGCCAAGCACAAGCGTCACCCAGTGTGACAAGGAGGGTGCAGCGTTCCGGCCCCAGGGCATGGAGCAGGACCAGAAGAGCCCAGCCAGGAGCTCCAGGCCTTGGGAATACCGGGAGGTGCAGATGGACTCGATCCCAGCACCACAGCTGCTGTGATGTGCCGGGGCAATGACAAGTTGCAGCCCCATCACAGCAATGTCCGCATCCCACCGAGCTGCCCTCCGATTGCTCGGCAGCGTGGGGCACCCCACAAAGCAGCCACAAAGGGTTGGATGTGAGACCCCAGGTCCCTGGGAATCATAACGGAATCCCAGTGGATGCAGTGCCAGAGAGAGCCCAGGAAATGGGGAGCAATCTGCAGCTCCGGGCAGCAAATCCATGCAGCCGGGATGCTGAGTGAGCAGCAAAACAATGCCCCATCGCCATGGGGCTGTGCCACCGGCTCTGTGCACCAGTGCTGCCCAGCCATGGGACAGGAGCCCCTGGGCACAGCATCCTGCCATAGGGCTGCCTAGGAATGGGGTCTCTGCACCATCACCATGGTGGGGATGGAGGCAGCGGTGACCAAGAGCGAGCCAACCCCAGCGTGGTGTCTCTGATAGAAGAGGGGGGGCTCGTGCAGGTGCCCAGAGCAGAAGCTGCACAAATAGAAGATGTCATGCAGAAAAAGGAGGAAATAGCGTTCTTGAGCTGCAGTGGAGAGGGGCCCTGAGAGGCGAGCGTTGTGCAAGAGCTGCGGTGCAGCTCGAAGGTAGAGGTGGCAGCAAACAAGGCAACCTGGTGGCAGGATCAGCCTTGATCACCCGCCTGACAGAGATGGGTATCAGGGCTTTGCAAAGAGGGAAATGGTGCTGCTGCAGTGGAGGAGACTGCTCCGAAGCAACCCGTTTGTCCCGATGCAAAGGGTTATGGGGGCACTTCCCATTTCACTGCTTTTTGGGGGGATTATTTGGGGTGGGAGTTCGCAGAAGCAGATTCCCCAATGCCTCAAATTCTCTCTTCCTGCTGCTAATAAGAATCCAGGGATTCCTGCTATTGAGAGGGATAAGGAAGAGCGAGGAGTCCCCAGCCCCTTGGGGCAGCAGTGCTGGATCCATAGGACACCTCCTGACTGTCCCAACCTTCCCCTCTTCCCTTTCCCAACAGGTCAGCCCATGAACCAGCTTCATCCCCTGTGACACATGATGGACACTGCACCGGCAGCAGTGATTTATGGATGATGTCCATGCCTGATTCAATGGGATCTTGCAGGACTCGGAAGCAATTCTGACTTCCCAGCTTTGTCCCACCAAAAAGCACAACCCTTTTCAGGCTCTGTTAATGGAATGACGGGAGAAATAAGGCTGTGGAAGAAGGCTTATGGCAGAAATACCCTCCTCCCGAGATACAGGGAAGGGCTTCCCAGCTGGCTCAAAGACCTCGTGTGCAGCCACACAGCCAGACTTTCCAGGAAGCTTCCCCCCCTCCATCACCCCCTGCTCCCGGCATTCCCAGCACAGCCATGGGAGCACGACCCAGGGACACCCTGCAGCAGCAATGGAACCGGAGACCTGACATTGAGATGCCAGAGGCATCTCCTGAGCACCTCATCCACAGCACCTGCAAGCATCCTCCTCCTCCTCCTCTCCCAGACCTGTGCAGGATTCCCCCCCGCCCGTTACATGGGGGCTTCTGGCTGCCCCACACACAGCTCCAAGCCGGCCCCAGCCGTGCAGGGCGATGCCTGCGAGCCGCAGCGGTTGCACCACAACTTCCTTTTACCTGGTCTTGCAAAGAGCTCGCCCTGCCGACGTCTATCCGGCGGCTGACACAGCCAGACGGTGCAGGCAGAGAGCCCAGCCACCGACTCCAGCCTTAAAACCAAGTAACGAACCTGTTGAAGGCAAGCTGGGAGCAGCCGGGATGCGCTTCCTCATCCCACCACAGAGACACAGCCCGGGGAACGCGCTCCCAACAACTGCAGCTCCCGCATCCTCCCTGTGCTTGCTGCCGACCCAAAGCGGGGATCAGCGGGCGCAGCACCCGCAAGGACCCCGCTCCCAAACTCGCCACCTCCCGCTCTTGCCATCCTCCACGCCACCAAAGCACCTCGGAGGTGTCCCCGTCGTCCCCCAGCCACGACAACCGGGATGCATCCAGCGCCGGGACCGCATCCCCGCACCCATGGACCAGCCCGACGCGGGGCCGCATCCCCGCCCGCTCCCGCCGCCGTCGGGCACCGAACCCTTCGGAAGCCCCTTGTGGTGCGGATGGGGCCGCACCGGGCCCCCGCCGCTGGGGACGGGAGGGAGCCCGCACTCACCCCGCGGCTCCCTGCGCTGAGGGGCCGGGCGGCGGAGGGTGGCTCCCGGCGCCGCTTCTTTCCGGGTTAATTACGTCTGCCATGAGCAAACCCGGCCCCGGATGTGAGTGCGGGGCGCGGGGCGGCTCCGCGCCCGCGTCCCGTCCGCCCCTCACCGCACCTGGGGAGCCACCGGCTCGGTCCGAGCCCTCCCCGGCCCCGGTACCCGCTGCGGAGCGGGGATGGGGTCAGCCCGGCCCTGGGTTCGGGTCCCCGTCGTCCCCCTCTCCTTTCATACAAATCCCCCACACACCCGACCGAAAATCGCTCCGTAAATCAACGCTCTCCAAACGCCTCCTGCTCCGCACCGGGATGCGCTCCCGGCCGAGCCCTTGAGGGCAGGATCCAGCCCAGCGAGCAGCATCGAGTGCATTCCCATGCAGGAGCAGCGCTGGGGTCCTGGCTGAGTCGGTCCTCACCGTGACACGGAGCCCCGGGGCTTCCAAAGCCTCTGGGGCATCGTTATGGGTTTACAAACGCCACTATGTTATGGACATCAAACACAGCAGCGTTTGGGGTAATAGGGGCAGGGGAGCATGTGCCATGGGCTGGGGGCGATCATCACCAGTTTTCATAGAGTGAATGGGGTTGGAAGGGACCTTCAAGCTCATCCAGTTCCATCATTGTCAGTCAACCATCTAATTCCATCACCCACACCCCAAAGGTCCCGATGGGGTGATGCAGTCACAGAGCGTTAGTGATGCCCCTCCGGGTACCAGCTCTGCAGAGTCCCCATCTAGAGACTGTCACCAGCTTTGCTCCTCTCCATGCAATACAAGCGACCCCAGCACCCAGCTCTGTGCCCCTCGCTGCTGACACATCAGGGGGTCTCTCCTTCCATGTCAAGACCAGATTCCATGCATTTGAAGGTTGTTTTCTCCCATGAGCATTCAGCACTCGCTGCACATCACCTCCTGTCAACGCATTGCCTCAACCCCCAGCATTTCCTATGGCCTGGGTCACTTTTAGAGCAGAGCTTTCCTCCCTCCCCTCTCATGGCACACGAGATTGCCCAACCGCTGCTGCCGGCACCATGTGTGTTCATGCCTGTGTGACTGCTCCTGGCCCGTGGCAATGAAACCACAGCAGAGAGCAGCCTCCTGCCCATCACAGACACAAGGGCTCTGTTGTGAGAGGCTCTCAGTGCACACTGCATGGGGATGAGCAGCTCAATGTGGGGCCCTGCAGGAGCATCGCTTGCTGCTGGAGCTCAGGGTGGATTTGGGGAGGAGGAAACCCCCCTTACATGCACAGGAAGGGCCCAGATTTCTCTTTGGAGCTGCATCTGGCCCCAAAGCACTATCTCCTAGCATGGGTGAAACCAATCATGGTGCTGCAGACAGCAAGCTGCTCTAGTGGAAGGTGTCCCTGCCCGTGGCAGGGGTTGGAGCTGGATGAGCTTTAAGGTCCCTTCCATTCTGTAGCTCTGATTGTTCACAGGGGTTATTTTTCCCAGCGGGATGCTGGCAGAGCCGCATCAATCCCTCAGCCCAGCCCAAACGGCATCATTTATCCGTTACATCAGGAGGAAAGCAGCCCTGAGCTCCCTCTGCATCTCCTCCCAAAGAGCCCCAATGGGATCACACATAACCCGAGCCGAGACACCCAGGGTGGCTCCAGCCTGGATGCTCCTTTGCTGTGTGTGATGGCAGGATTTGGCCTTGCCCCCCGCATACCTCCTAAGGGAAAGATCACCCCTCAATGCAGCTGGGCATTGTTCCTTGCACTCCCCATGCATACCCTAAAGCCCATCCTCACCCAGCTGCACACATTGGTGGGGCTGGAGCGTGAGCTCCTATAGAGCTTTTGAAGGTGCTATAAGGGAAGCAAAACCTGAAGCATGAAGAACCACCCGCTAAGGAAGCACAGGCCACAGCACCTGGGTCATACTTAGAGCAGATCACATCACCCACCCCGAGCGCATCTTCCTCTTCCCGTTCCTGCTGCTCCCGGCATTCCACACTGGAATGAGCTCCCCAGCCTTGCCCTGTCTCCCCCTTCCTCATCCCTGCCTGCTAAACTGTTCCACAGGGTATTTTTATACCAGGGCATCTCTCGCAGCCCTTGTGACTGGCACCAGGGCTGCAGCAGCACCGTGTCCTACGCAGTCACACGGCAGCTAGTCACACTGCAGCTCCTCCTTCATCCCAGGAGCCTTTCCATTCGCCTCCCACCTTTCCCAATGGGTTTTGCTGCTGTAACCTGTAGAGGGGTGCAAGAACCCCCTTGAACTCACAGGGACACCCCATTAGCACACATAGGGCATTCCTGGAGCAGGGCATGCCTCTACACCACAACCTTCGGATCCCACCAGCATCCCTCATGCTCCCAGGGGAAGAAGCAGGCACAGAGCAGCTTTACCCTCCCCTCTTGTGTTATCCCTCCTGCTTGGGGTTAACCCTCACAGGGCTCCATAGCCGTGCTCTCCAGGGCTTCCCACCCTGCAGCAAGCACTCACCCAGGGCTCTGTCCCGGCAGCATCCCGCAGCAGGGAGCTCCGTGGTTGGAGCTGAGCGTGCCGGATCCCTGCTCCTCTGTTCGGACTTGCCCCTGCTCGGTTTCAGTACCTGTTCCCTTTTTGCTCGTCTTATGACTAAGGGAAACTCCCACAGGTTGGCTGGGCTTCCAGGCGGCGCTTTGCTGCTCGCACTGAGCTGCATTCCTTGCACTCACATCCCTGCCCTCCTCTCCATGCTCCATCCTTCCCCTTCATCGTCCCCTTTCCTTTCCTCCTCAGTCTCGTCCCCTCACTTTCACCATTCTCCTTTACTCTCTGTGAGCACTGGGAGCTTTGTTCTTATCCCAGTGGGAATCCCCAGCATCCTGCACCCTCCCCAGCGCTTCACCTCCTCCATACCCCAACCAGCACTGCCTTTCTTCTCCTTAAACTGCAATTCCTCCCATGCCAGGCCCCTTTGCCTGCATTAGACCAGCCCTAGGAGGGCTCTGGGCTGCAAGAGGGCTTCTATATGGGCTCACTTTAGGAGGTAATGATGATGGGCAGCTGTGGAGCACACCCAGGAGGGGTTTGGAGGCAAAGCCTGCTGAAAAGAGAGAATGAAGATCTCCCTGGGGGTGTCACTTTGATCCCTTTGTGGCCGGGTCGGATGGGGCTTGGAGCAATCTTAATGGAAGGCGTGGAACTGGATGAGCTTTAAGGTCCCTTCCAACCCACCCCGTTCCCTGATCCCTGTAAATGAGGAGCAAAGGGGCTGCAAACACGGTTTTCAACTGCAGCTTTTATTGGTGCGATGGCAGCTCAGCCTCTCCATCCTTCACACACTCCAAACCCCGACCCGTGGCCCTAGGCTATGGCAACAAGCAGCTACCCCATCGCGGCCGCTCACACCCAGCTCAGCAGCAGCATCCCAGCCAGCGCAGCCACCAGCAGCCCATGGCGGGGCTTAGAGGGGCTCCCGGCCCCATTCTTGGAGCCCCGCTGCCCATTGCAGTCATCACTGAAGCAGCAGCGCAGGGTGGCCCCGCTGGAGCCGCCAGCACGAGCCTGGTCACAGAAGGCTTTGTAGGAGCACGACTTGATGATGCTGTCTGCAAGGAGAGGAGCACAGGGTTCAGGCACTGCCATGCATCCTCCCTGCTGCGTGGTCTTATATCCCTTTCCGACCCTAACTGTTGTGCTGGGGCAGGGAAGGGAAGGAAGAGCTGCATCCCAGCACCGTTGCAATAGTGATGTGGAATCAAAGCACCCATAGCACTGCTGGGGGAGCCGAGGAGTGGTCCGGTGGCCAAGGGATGCCCCTGTGGTCACCCTGCTCATGGTCACGCAGCCCTGATGTGAAATAGGGACCTGGTATGTGTGAGAGTAGGAATAGCCCAGGCTGTGGAGTGAACCCAAGGAGGGAGGCTGGGGTTGGGAACAGTCCCTGTCTGTTCCCACATGGAAAACAAATGGAACGCTGTTCTGAATGGGAGCAGCGTCCCACAAAGGACTTTCCTCACACCAGCAAGGGGCTGTGAGTCCCCTCGGACCAAAAGGATGCTCCTGAGGACTAAAAACTTGGGAAACACAAATGGCTCATCCCTGCTTCACTGGGACAAGAGGAAACAGGCTCCCCCCCGTCCCCTGCTTCTCTTTGCCCTCTGGTCCTTCCCCAACCCGCCCAGGCACTTACTGGGCGCAGTGATTGTGGAGCAGGCATCAGCGTACTGGGGGCAGCTGTGGGAGCCCTGCTTGTTGCAGTCGTTCTCGTTGGATGCGACACATCTGTGGCATCTCAGCGCTTGAGCTGCGTGAAGATGGGGAGGAGGAAGAGGAGGATGAGGAGTGAGAGCAGCAGCAGCGGCATCCCGGAGCCCCCGTATCCGACCCATCTCTGGATGCTCCTCAAAGGAAGCCCCAGGCGTGTTAGACAATAGCCGGCCCCTGGGCTTGCAGTGCTGTGTGAGCCAGAGCTGATGACAGGGGTGAGAGCTCTTGGATCCTTTAGGAGAGGGAAGCACACAGCAGGAAGAGGTCCCTGCTCCGTTTAGGAACCAGTGGAGCCGTGGAAGCAATGGTATCATTTAATGGTGTCATTTAATCACTTTCAATAACATAAGCGTTAAATTCCTGCAGGCAAAGCCGCCCCCAGCCCTAGATCTGAAGATCCTGCTCCTGCCTGAAACGAGGAATTCCTGGTTTTGATGGATATTCCCGCTGAGGCTGAGTCAAACCTGGCCGCGCTTTGCTGGCTGAGCAGAGCCCTCTCGTGGCAAGAGGGGCTTGCGGGAGGCCGGAGCTCCCACCTCCATCCCTTGGGAAAACCCATGGAAAACAGGGATTTCAGATGCCGTTAACTCACATTATTGACCCCTGGCTTCCCCAGCGGCATCGCTCGTAGCCCAAAACACCGTCATGGTTCATCTTTTCGTGTCCCAACCATCCCGACATTGCTCATGGCACAGCTCAAGCAGCATCGCCGCCCTCCTGCCCTTTGAGATGCCTCTTTGTGGTTCCACCTTTGAGGAGCCGCATTTTGGTCCAGCAACAGCAGAAGCTGCTGCTCCTTGGCTCGGGTACCTCCTTGGCCCACCAGAGATGGAGACCAGGAAGCCCCACAGCCTTGGCTGGCAATGTGAAAAGCAGGATGCTCTTTTGGGTACCAACATCCCCCTGGAATGCCGGTTCTCTGCAGGGATGGGGGCACCCAGCAAGCAGAAGAGCAGTGTTTCTACAGCGATTCCCCCCCCCAACCCCAACCCCAGCACTGCCTTGGGCCGCAGGACACTTACTGTACCCAGCCAAGGATGTGACAAGGGCCAGGGCCAGGAGGGTCTTCAGGGCGGACATCCCGGCTGTGCGAGGCGCAGGGTGCTCAGCGTCTGTTTTGTCTTAAGGTCTTAGAGCTAATCTGCTTGGGCTATCGGATCACCGGGCTGGGGATAACGCACTTACTGCAGCCCCTGCCTAATGCCATCTTAGCCGGGGAGGACGGGACACGGATGCCAAGGGCATGGGCAGAGCACTGGAGGTGGTTGGATCTCCCCGCGCTCGCCAGGCTGGGCTCTGCTTTGGGGACCGGCTCCATCTCCAACACCGGTGCCTTTCACAGACCGTGGCCATACAGAATAAGCCATCTCCTGCCGTTTGCAGCAGCCAAGCTGGGCATGAACACTCCAAAGAGAACATCTGGAGATGCTCTGGACACATCTGGAGAGCCCAGAGGAGCCGTCCCCGCTTCACTTGGGCTGCGCGAGGCAGTCTCCATCCCAGCAGAGGATTTCCCCATGGCCATGAAGGTTATCAGGGGGAGCGTGGGGATGAAGCAGAGTCCCTCTGCCTAACGTGTTCAACCTAAACCCAGCTTCTCCATCCTTGCACACAGCAGGAAGGGTTTCAAGAGTGATAAACACGGGTTTTATTCAGGCAATGAAACATGGCAACAAAAATATATTAGTAATCGTTAGAATAATCTGTGTGAGTATAACTCTTACAAATATTTACCTGACATAGAAAAGGGAACTCAGTGGACATATAAAACCGATGGCCATGGCACTTACACACGTGGTGGGAAGCGATTGGGGTCAGTGCAGGGAAGCGCCTGCCTTGGGGGGAGCCATCTAACGTCAGGGCAGTTCCTCATCGGCACTTCGCTGGATGCAGGGATTTCACCTCTACTGCAAGCAGATGATGACAAACACCACGATGCTGGGACCCCAAACACGGGTACCCGCAGTGCTCCCCTAACCGGGATGCATCCTGACCGGAACGTGGCATCCAAATGGGATGATAGCTCCAGGGCTAAGCCAGCCCCATCCACAGCTGGCTCCTAAGAGCAGCACCCGGGATGCAACAGTCCTGCCTGCTTGCAGCTACAAACACACGCCTCCTATTATATAGAACTATAACCATTATACATATACTTATATATATATATGTAACTATAACCATATTATAGTTAATAAATCATTCCTTAGGAATCTTCTTTCGCCCAGACTGGAAGTGCATGCTGACAGGCGCAGGGATGCAGCAGCACTGGGGTGACAGAGGCAGCGAGTGGGACCGGGAGAGGCTCTGGGAAGCAGATGGGGAGGATGCTCCTGCAAAGGGCAAAACCCAGCTCCCTAAGTAATTCCTGGTCTCAAGGGGGTCAATTCACCTGCACAGACCCCCAGGAGGTCCAAAGGGTCATGCATCCAGGCGGGAATGCTGTTCTGGAGTGGGAGAGCAGTGCTGTAGTCTGCATACCCCTAATGCTGATGATATACAGAGGGAAGGGCAGTGATGCTCCAGTGGGCTGAGGCTGGCACTTTGACTTCCCAAACAGGAATCAGCCTTGCCCATCGTCTGCCAGAGGCTTTCCTGCCAGCCCATGGATGTGTGGGGAGGGGAAAGAGGGGGGGAAAGAGCAGAAAAGGGGGGTTTCCTTGCTGTGCAAAGGGGCAAACATTCAGCACAAAGCCATGGATGGTGTCAGCCATCAGCTTCCCCACCCCGGTCACTGGGATAACTGGGAGCACAGGGAACAGGCCCGGACTCTGCGTGCTAGGGCAGGCTGCTGGCATCTTCGTCTGCTTAAGTGCGTGATAAACTCTCTCTATACATCATATAGCTACTGAAATATAACCAAGTGCATGGCTCTGGGTTAAACACTGCATGCACACCACTGGGGTTAGAAAATAGAAGGAAGCCAGCTCAATTCTCTTACAAAAAGGTAGCAGCAAAAAGGTTTGTGAAAGTCTTCAATAGGCTGGGTAGGAAACAGTCCAAAGAGCAAATACTTCCCTTACGTGATGCTTTACGACTCCCCGCTCAAGGCGATAGAGTCCTCCCTTTACCACTGCAGCTATTGCCTGATCCCATCCATCCGCCTTCTGCACTGACCCACAGCCCCCCATGGAACCCCAGATCTTGAGGAGCCCCCCGCTTCCCAGCCCATCCAAAGGCAACCTCAGTGGTTGGCATGGCCATGGCCATGGCCTCGGAGGCGGAGCGGGCACCTTGCCTGCGTGGAAAAGCAGATGTTGGGCTGCATCCATAGATTCCAAAGGGTACTTCCCTGCTGCCCGGACCTGCCTGTGCCTGTCAAGGCTGCCTTTTGTTTGGTTCCCGTCACATTCAGTGCTGCAAGGGCATTTCTGAGAGCAGCAAAGAGCCGGGCAGGGCTGCTCTGTTCTGCACTGATGGGGAAAGAGCCTGAAGCCAGCAGGATCATGAAGCAATTTCCTCCTGTAACATCCATGCTAGCGCGGCTGTGGCGTGGGGAGCCAAGGGCACGGGGCTTGGCTTTAGCAATGTGAAGGGCACTGACCGTGGGGCAGGCAAATGGACCAGCCCCAGCTCTGCAGAACCAGCATCTCCCCATGTCTCCAACACCTCCCGGTGCAGGAGCCTCCTGCCCTCCCCTTGGCAGGGCTCTGCTTTAAGAGGACTCAAGTTACTGCAGGTGAAGCGGCTGTATCCGTGCTCCCAAGGGAAGGAGATGTGTAACAGGACCGTGCCTGCCTGGAAGAAGTGAGCAGAGAGCCTCAGTGCTCATAAATGCTAATAAAGTGCACGAATGCAGAGACATTGGGTTCCATTGGCACAGCCAGGGATGAGGATGCTCTGGGCTGCCTTCCACCCACGGACCAGAGACTGGGACCAGCTCCCTGAACCCCAGCACCTCTCCCAAAACCAATCAACCTATGGGAGGCTGCTTTGGCCAAAGGATCACACTGGTGGCCCCAAACATAAAGGCTCCCCTTTGCTGCCTCTCCCCAGCCATGCACCCTCCCTAGTGCAAGGACCAGCGGCTCCGGCATCGGCATCACCCACATCCCATGGCAGGGCCTCATAGGGTCAACCTGGAGCAGGAGGGGACAGTAAGTGACAAGAGTGTGTAGGGGCACAACCAGACCCAGACAAAGGACACAGGGTCTGGGGTAGGGGGGGGGGATCCCACCTCCCACTTGAGAGGTGGCATCGGCGCAGAGGGACACGCAGCCTGACTGCAGGGATCGTGGTCCCGGAGCCCTGGGATGCAGGGAGCAGGCAGCAGGATGCTGTGCTCTGTGCCGGGGTCCTGGGGTAAGGCAAAGTGCTGCACGTTAGGAGGAAAGCGGCCAAGTGCAGAGTGCTGGGCGAGGGGTGGTGGGACTCAGTCCGTCTTGCCCAGCTTCGCTATCAGCTCATCGCAGATCTTGGTCAGCTCCTCAATCTCCTGGTTCTGGAAGGAAAACGGATCATGAAGAGCCCCTGTGGTGGCGTGGATGGGAGATAACACCCCTATGGGTACCGCTGATGCTCCTGCCCAACCTCCTCTGTGCGGCATCCAGGGGCTGTGGGGAGCCCGAGCTCACCCATCCTCACCCCAAACACATCCCGGTGCTGCCATGGGTGCGCTGGTGGCTCTGACAGCCAAACTGAAGCCAGACTGAACTGGCAACCACAGCACTGCCCATGGCTGTGCTTACACCCATGCAGAGCTCAATGCCCTCCATGGAGAGGATGCAGTTGTACATCTCAACAACCAAACCCAATCTGAATTGACCCCAGCACTGCCCAAAGCCGTGCTTACACCCATGCAGACCTCAACACCCTCCATGGAGAGGATGCAGTTGTACATCTCAACAACCAAACCCAATCTGAATTGACCACAGCACTGCCCAAAGCCGTGCTTACACCCCTGCAGAGCTCAACGCCCTCCACGGAGAGGATGCAGTTGTACATCTCAACGACCGAACCCAATCCCAAGACACGAACCAAGCAAGCAAGTGAAGAAATACCCCCAAACCCCAACCCCACAGAGCACTCTCTAGGCCCAAAGCCCAAAGGATGCCTCCAGCACCAAGAGGATGCTCAGGGCAGCAAAGGGAACGCGGTGTTACCTTCTGTTGCAGGGCTCTCTCCAAGGACTCAACCTTCATCTGCTCCTTGCGCAGCCCCGCGTGCAGCGCCGTGCTCTCTGCCTTGGCCTTGGCCCGCACTTGGGCGATCTCCTCGTTGGCTCTGTGATGGGTTCGGACACAAGGGGACAATGGTCACTGAGACAAAGCATCCCAGAGCCCGGCTCCTGCGTGCCCGCGTACATCAGGGCTGGTTTTCCCATATGGAAAACCTCCATGGACCGGGGTGAAGCTCAACCAGGTCCTCACTCGCTTCACTCAGGGCTGCTGCGTGTCGAGCACAACACAGACACGAGCCCTCTTGGAGCACGGAGAGCTGGTTAAGTGGCTGCAAATCCACCATAAACCTCAGTTTCTCCATTAGGAAACCTAAGCAGGGATCGGAGAATCCATGGAGGGATCCGTGCTGCCTTCACTCACAGCCATTTAAAACCACTCGAGCCCGAGGTTGTGAAAGGCAGCTTTTCACATCAATAAGCTCCCACCACGAGGTCTCAGCACCCATCAATCCCATGCATGTCCTTACTTGTCCAGCTTCTCCTCCGCATGGACTTTCAGGGCTTGGTACCGCTGCTCCTCCTGCTTGACCCGGGTTAAATAATCTTGAGCACACTTCTTCAGAGCTTCTTCATTCTGGGAAGGGAAAAGAGCAGGGGACAAAGTGAGGGCGACGCTATGGGACCTCTACATGCAGGGAGAAAGGGGGAACGGAGGGAAGGACCTTCTTGAAGCCTTCCAGGACGCCCTTCAGGTTCTCGTATCTCCTAAAGAGATCCGATAGGGACCTCTCCACCGAGTTCAGGTCCGCCAGCGCCTGCTCCTTCTCCAGGGTGAGCTGCTGCAGGTTCTTCTGGGACGTCATGTTCGTCCTCTGCTCGTCCTCTGGGATGGAGAATAAGCAGGAAGGGAACACAGGGATTGAGTGGGGCTGGCAGCTACCTCATTGCTCCGTGCACCCTACCGGGGGATGGCACCTTACCTATCATCTGGGCAATGGTCTTCTCATACTCAGCCACGATTTTCCTAGGAGGAAGGGAGAAGGATAACCCAGGGAAGAGGCAGGCACGCACCTATAGCCCTGTTGCTCCTTCCCCACACCTCAAACAGCCCAAGCAAGGCTGCAGGGCCCTGGTGATGCCCCTGGCAGTGAATGGGATTTTGAGCCTGCGACTAAGAACCCAGCAGCAAACCATAGCACGAGCGCATCTCCTAACCCATCCCACCCCGAGGAACCCCATCACATCCCAATGGGAAGGGTCCTACCGCATCTCCAGCACTTCCTGGCGGCTCTCTTCGTACTTCTTCTTCCACTCGCTTGCCTCGATCTCCTTTGTGATTATCTAGGTTGCAGCAGACACAGGAGCCTTGGGACGGGCTCTGGGTGCTTCCCCAGTGCTGTGATGCTCAAGGGGTGCACGCGGGCAGGATACGGCCCCGGTCCCCACGTTACCTCCTCTCGGATGAGCGTGAGCACGGCCGTCTTCTCGCATTCACTGAGGCAGATGCTGGCCAAGGGACTCTCGCTCCTGGTGGTGGCTGAGGGGGACTTGTCCATGGAGCACAGCCCGGGATTGCCCTGCGGGGAGCAGCCATTCGGGATGCTGCAGGGCTTTCACCTCCCATTTGGGATGCTCCCCCCCCTGCACCAGCCTCTGTGCAGGCGCTGAACATCCTGCACACGCCGACAGCCCAGAGCCAGCACCAGGCAGAGCCCGTAGGGGGGATTTATTGCACTTTATGCCCAGTCTCCTGCTGGGAGCTGGGGCTGCGCCATGGGACACCCAGGGAAGCATCATCCCAAAGGAGAGACCCAGGAAGGGCTCATTTCGGAAGCAGAGCTGTGCTCACATCTGACATCCCTTCACTTTCCCCATGGCTGGTTTAAACGGGAGCCACAGGTGAGGGACCAGGTCCCCCTTCTCCATCACCTCCATCAGATGGAGACGTGGATGCAGCTGATGCATCCAAACTGCTGCCAGCAGCAGCAGGGCCTCACTGATCACCCCAAATGCACAAGGGGGAAACAGGCATCACTTCCCTGCAGAGCACAGCTCCAGCTGAGCCAGCCCTTCCCAATGGGCAGCCCTGCTCATCCCACCGTGCCCCAGCCTGGGAGATGCTCCCACAGGGCTCCATCACCCTCCTGTTTCTATTATAGGTGCTTTTACAAGAGCTGAGGTGCTCGTACCCCCATTCCTCACTGCTCCCCAAACCACAGCCCAGCTCCTCCTCACCAGGGGACCAAACTAGGGATGAGCTCAGCGCTGTGAGGCTGAATCCCGCCTGGATGCTGCCCCATCCCTTCCCTTGGGGGTGCTGCAGCCTCCAGAAGAGCATTCCTTCCAAGCAAGGGCTGACACCACCGCCTGTTCCTCCTTGTATCCCTCTAAATGACAGCCCCGTGCAGGCATCTCCTTGGGAACCGGCTGCCAGGCCATAAATAGAGAAGAGCTTTGGAGGAGGCTCCGTGCCTGGGCTCTGTTTTGGAAACCAGAGCACTAAAGCACTTCCCTCCCTCCCCTCCTCCTTCACTGCAGCTCAGGCTCAAGCACATTTGGGTCCAGACAGCCCAGCCCTGGGTGGTGTTGGCAGCATCACCCAAGAGCCCCAACCCATCCCATGGGAGCCCCACACAGCGGCTCTGGGATGCTGGCGGCTCAGAGCCTGCCCAGCCCCGAGCCCCGGCTTCGCTTTGTCCTTGTGGGGCTTAGCGTGGGTCAATCTGTCTCAGAGGAGCTCCTTTTGCTGATGTTGGTAATCTCATTGTCATCTGCTTGCACCCGAGCAGCTTTGCCCAGGGTTGGATGAGCCGGCACAGGGTTCCCTGCAGCCGAGGGTCTTGGGGTCACCCAATGGCCCCTTGGGGGTGCCCCTTACAACGCTCATGAACACCTCAATGTGAGGCATAGACCATGTCCTGCAGCTCATCCCTTCCTTGGGACCTCCTCTGCCCTCTCCCTGTCCTGCAGCCGCTCCACACACAGTGTGCTTGCTCTTGTTGAGCATCCATGGGGCAGCCCTGGATCCCCATCATTCCCAGCATCTCCCTCCCGCAGTGCCCATCCGGAAGGAGCCATCCTATGCCAGCCTGTGGGACATCACCCCTGGCTTTACCAAGCCCCTGTGTGGGCTTTGCATGGACTTTAGCTCCCAAAGAAACCCAGTTCAGAGAGGTTTGGGTGGCGCAACATAGGCACAATGGGGTCACCCTCCCGCAGCCCCCAGCCTCCCCATAGGGAGCAAAGAGGAAGCAAGAGGCACTCACAGGGAAGATGTCCTTTTCCACCTGCTTGGAGATCTCCTTTTCAGGGCCTAAAGACAATGAAACACAAGGTTTTAACCCCTTGTGACCAAGACCCCGCTGCACATAAGGATTTGCTGGGATGCAGAAGGGCATCAGCATCCTCCGAGCATCCCTTCCCAAAAGGCTTCTTTGCCCCATGCTCGTGCCCTTGCAGCCTGGATGCATCCCGCACCCTGCCAGCCTCAAACCCTGGAGTGGAAACCAACACTTCCCTCTGGTGGCAGCTCAGCCCTGTGGTGCCCAGAGCAGGATTGGAGTTGCACGGGAACGCTGCAGGATGCATCCCTGGGCTGAAGCCCAGCTGCTTGGGCCACTCCGCATAGCACAAACCTCAGCCCACACCAACTGGGCCCAAAGGAGCTGCCACATGGCCCCAGCTATTCTTAACAGCATCAGAGAGGAGATAAACCCCTCCTGTCTGCAACCTGCCCTCTGGCATAGAGCAGGAGGTGATTTATGGACCTCAGCTGCAGCCAGCACTGGTCAGGCAGAGAAAAGCATGAAGGGAAGGAGGAAACAGAGCTGATTTCCTGCTCTTTCTCCCCATTTCCCCTCCCCAGAGCCTGCAGCCTGCACAGCATCCAGGGGCAATGATGAATGGGCACAGGGCAGAGCTGCAGACCCCCCCTCCTCTTGCACCTTTAGCTTTGCTATTGATTAAATGTCTTGTTCTGACACCTGGCTCTAATTCTGCTGTAATGGGGTGGTCAGCGAGGCTAATTCCATACGAGACTGACAGCAAAGGGCCAGCAGGAGCATCAGCAGAGGTCTGCAGTGATGCTGAGATCTCCATCAATCACTGACCTCGTGCTGGGAGCTCAGCTTCGAGCAGGGCACCCTGTAACCACCTCAGCACCATGGGGATGTGCTGTACTGACAGCATCAAAGTCAACACAAGCCTGTGCCGCTGGTTTTCCATGATGGAAATGGTGCCATAAGCAACGGAGGTTTCATTATAGGGCCTTGAGCCCTGGCAGCGTGAATAGAAGCTGCCTCAACAGCATCAATTCATGGCCAGAGCTCCATACACAGCACATCCCAGAGGATACAGGGATGCTCCTTACCTGGCTCCGTGCCGTGCTTCCCGGCCGGCACAGGGACGTTGGAGCACTCAAAGTACTCGAGGTCATCTTCGGGCTCAGGCTTCTTCTCCAGCCCAGGTTTCTGTGCCGTGGTGCAGGCCAGCTTCTCCTCATCAGTGGCTCGTCCATCCCGATTGGCAATATCTGGGATTTCTGGGATCAGCGCTGCTTCATCCTGCAGGACCAAGGCACGCGGTTAAGCAGGACTGAGCTAATCCACGGGGATCAGGCAGCCGGCTGGCATGGGAAGCAAAGGGAAGCTTCGCATCCACCACCAAGCTGCAACCCAGCAGCTCCTCAGTGGGGTTTGGCAGCAGGAAACGCGTGGGGCTGGGGGCAGAAGCGATGAACACACAAAACCCCATTAACCCAACCGCAGAGCTGTGCTGGGGACAGGGCTGCTCCCGCACGCACACAGACCTCAATGAACCACAGGGACCTAGCCTGGCCAGGGACAGGGCTGAGCACCAAAGCAGCGCCCTCCTGCCACCCCTTCCCATAGGGAAGATGCTCTCACATTGACTGCTTTCAGGGATACCCCACCCTGACCCCCCACCTCTCCCCATGCCCTCCACCGAGCATCCCTGGTGGGATCCCACCTACCTGAGCGCCAGCATCCAGGACCAGGGGCTGTGCCTCGTATGGCTTCACCTTGCAGCCGCTCCTGCAGGGAGAGAAGCAGCAGCTCAGGCATAGGCAGGGACCGCGAGTGAGAGCCGAGCAGGGGGAAGCAGCCCCAGCAGCAGCGTTTGCACCCGGCAGCACCGCACTCACCAGTGAGACACGGAGGCAGAGCAAGCTCTGGGGCGGACAGAGGAGCAAGTGAACAAAAGACAGGACTACAGAGCAACGGGGTTTGTCTCTGAGGAGTTTATTCCTGCTGAAGGGGAGATGCTGACAACGCGAGAGGCCATTGCCACAGAGATGCCCCTCGCCGCACCCTCATCCGGCGGGATGCATCCCAAAGGGCGCACGGATCTCCTGCGGGATGGAAGCTTCTCCAGGCTGTCCCGTGCCCATTCCCTGGAGGTTTGCCTGGGATATCTCCATGGGCAAGTTGGACCCACACGGCCGGATTGCTGGTTCGAGCTCTGCTTTGCTTGCAGGGCAACTGCTGCACCTCGGATGCTCCCTCCAGCAGATGCAAAGGGAAAAGAGCCTTGCAGACAGGAGAAGGTTGAGCTCAGGTTGCTCTTGGGTGGCTGGATACTCTCCAGTGAGGAAGCTCTCCCTGGCTCTTCATCCCATGCTCCTCAAGGCGTGCCATTCCAGAGTCCATCAGCACAGCCACATCCCGACCCGCCGGGCATCAGCATCCTGAATCAGCTGGGGGCAGCACAGGGATGGTCCCAGCAGGAGCAATCCTGCATCTCACCGCCCTCTCGCTCCATGTCCACCATCTCCCATATCCAAACCCCCAGAAGGCAGATACTGGCCAAGCTGGATACAGCTCGTGTGGCATCCCACTGCGGAGGGATCTCTGCCACAGGGACACGGGCAGAGGCTCAAGCAGGATTGCATTGAGCCATTCCTTGCTATAAAGCATCTCTCCCACCCACTTCACTCCCCATCCCATCACACACGTGCGCCAAATGATCCCCCCCCCAGCACCAAGATAACTGGAATTCAAGGGGATGGGGCAATGGGGAGCAGGCAGCCCATGATGCCCTGCAATGCCTGGGGCACAGGCAGCCCCAATCGTGCTGCAGGGCCCGTGGTGAACACAGACACCCACTGTGAGCCAGTGGAAAGGCAGATGGGGTCTTGGCCAAGACACAGATGTCAGCGCTGGAGCCCGGCTCCAATGCTGGTCGTGCATATGGCAGCAGCACTGAGCACACAAGAAGGGCATTGGGATGATGACAGAAGATGGGAGCTGAGCCCAGCATTCTCCCTTGCACCACAGCAGAGCCCAGAGGGCCTGGGAGGGGACGACTGACAACGCTGAGCATCCCCCATGGCGGTGAGGCAGGTCCCTGCTGTGTGCCCATCCTATGGGATGGGAGCTGCAAGCCCTGGGGGCACAGCAGGGGCAGGGGGTATTTCACTGGGGTCCCACTGTGCCAGGGGTACAGCAGAGCCACGCTGCAGCACTGCAGGCTGCAGGGCAGTGATTGGAGCTGCTGTGCTCGAGCCGAGCTTTCCAACCCACGCAGGGCCCTGCAGCCGGGCTCCATCCCAGCCTTGGACACAGCAGGGATGCTCTGAGGGCTCTGGCAGGCACCAAAGAGCTCAAAGGAGCCCTGTTTGGAGCTGGCTGCGAGGGCAAAGCTCCTTTGGGACCACTTCAATGTCCCAGAGCCAGAGGAGATAGGCACTGACTCCATCACCTCCCGGATGATGCTTTCCCCTACCCCTCTATAGAGGTGGCTTTGGGATGGGGTAGGAGATGCCCTCATCTTCAGGACTACCCATCCAGGCTGCACACAGAGCTGCTCCCCTCCGTTAGCCAACGCACTGGGTCTGAGGGCTTGAACGCTCTAAAGGCATTGCGGGCCGCATGCTGCGGGAGCAAGCACAGCATCCTCACCTCACCGGGCCGAGCCACCCCAAGAGCTGCAGGACATGGACCAGAGAGCGCGGAGCATGAGACAAAGGGCACAAGGAGCCTGCATGCCGTGGAGACGTGTGGGGCCAGCACCCACCCAGAGAATGAGGACAAAAACCAGCCAAGGAGAAGAGGAAAGCAATAGAGAAGAGAGTACTTACAACAGAAAACAGAGAAATTTCACTTGTTCAGTGGTCCTGATGCACCAAAGCATGGACAGGGAGAGAGACAGACAGATGGAGAGAAGAAGAGCGTGTGAAAAGACCTGGGTATTAACTCTCATTGGGAGAAGCACAGCGCCATAGCCCAGCTCTGCTTTTTGGGGAGGAACACACGGATAAAGGATGCTCTGATTGGGCATCTCCTGCTCACGGATGTGAGACTGATGGTGTCATTCCACCACGCATCCCACTGCCAGGGAGGGGAGGTGAGTGAATGGAGCAGCCCATGCTCCCAGGAGAAGGGACCCTGAGGACTTACAGAATCATGGAATGGTTTGGGTTGGAAAGGACCTGGAGATCATCCAGTTCCACCCCACTGCCATGGGCAGGGACACCTCACACTAGACCGTGTCACCCAGCACGGCCTTGAACACTGCCAGGAATGGGGCATTCACTTCTCTGGGCACCCTGTGCCAGCGCCTCAGCACCCTCACAGTAAAGAACTTCCTTATCTCCAACCTGAACTCCCCCTGTTTCAGTCTGAACCCATCACCCCTTGTCCTACCCCTACAGCCCCTGATGCAGAGCCCCTCTCCAGCATCCTTGTAGCCCCCTTCACACACTGGAAGCTCCGCACAGCTTCACCTCTCCCTGCTGAACAGCCCCAGCTCGGTCACACAGGGGAATGCCGGCTCCCAGAGAGCACACATCCCCTCCTGCAAAGTGTTTCTAGGAGCAGAGCACCCAACACACCCTTACTTCTGCCTGCTGGCTGTTGTCTGTGCTCCCTGTATAACCCTGCTCCCGTTTTCCCATCAGCAGAGCAATGGCCTGCGTTGGTTTTGCTGCCAACTCCACGCTCCCAAAATTCCCCCTCCTTTTGAGCCCTTTTGCTTTCAACTGGTTCTAATCCCACAACCCCAGGTTATAGTGGAAGGACCCAAAATTGCCTGGGCAGGTAGAGCCAAGCCTGGCTCAGCAGCTCCCATCCCCAACGTCAGGCACTGCTCGGACACGGCTTGGAGAACATTGGTGATGCCACAGGTGAAAAGGCAAGGAAACGGGAAGGTTTGGCCATGAAACCTGCTCCAGAGGAGCATTCCCAGCCTGCATTCCCAGGAGGCACCGTGAAATGTCACCGTCTCCACTGGGGGGGGGGGGGAGGGTGTGTGTGTTAAATAGCACGGTTCAGGACCTAAAAAGGCACTGAAATAGCTCAGCAAGGCACAGGCAGCTCCCTCCTGCCTGTGCAGAGGTGATGGAAGCAACAGATCTGCCTCTTCACCGCTATCTCCTTCCCCTGCTTGGCAAAGAGCACCCCCGTGGCAGCTCGCACCATGTCCCAGCAGCATCTGACCCATCAGGCAGGCACCCACAAGCTGCAGCAGGCTCCCAAACCCTCATCAATACTTGCTAAAGCCTCTGCTCTGCCCACCCCAGCTCCATGAGCCGGAGCCCTGAGGGTTTTCCAAAGGGATGATCCTGCAAAGCGGGTCCTGATCCAGCCCTCCCCATTCTACGTGGGACCCCAGCACCACACCAGGACCTCGGTCCCTCTCCTCCCATCCGCTCCTGATGCTCCAGGATGCCAACAGGGATGCAGGAGCTGCCGCTCCGCTGGGACAAGGGGTAGATAAAAGCAGGGCAGCCGAACCCGAGGTGCACATCGGTGTTTCAGGCTCGCTTAGAAGGCACGGGGGCATCATCACCATCACCACCACCACCACTGCTCTGCCCGCAAGGGAACGGAGGGGCCGCTGCTGCCCGCTCCATCACTCACGTTATCAGGCGGGACTTGGGCTTCTTGGGGGAGCCGCTGCCTCTGCCGGGCTCATCCTGCACCTCCAGCGCCTGAGACTCCAGGATCTCATTGAGGCTGTTGTCAGCAGCAGGGCAGGAGTCGGTGGTGGAGCTGCCGAGGGTCTTGGTGGGCTTCAACGGATCCATTGCCTCAAAGTGATTGGGGTCGAACTGGTAGGACCCTTTGGGGAGAGCTGGCAAGTCCTGCAGCGCTGAGCTGCCACCCAAGGGGCCTATCCGGGGTGCAGGACCCAGGCGGGGGGAGCCGGGAAGGGGCAGATCCATGGGGCCCCTCTCTGCATCCTCAACTGGTTTCTTGGGGGGCTCTCGGTGCCTCTTCGGTGTCACTTTGCTGGCCGGGATCCTGCTGCCCCTCCTGGGCGCTGCTCTCCTGGTCTCCGGGCTCTCTCCTCCCTCCATCGAATCAACCTCAGGCTTTGGGAGCTGCTCTTTGTGCTCCGGGTCCCCTCCTTGCTCCCCAACGCTGTCACTGGGGTGGGGAGGGCAGTGTGGGGCTGATGCTACAGCGGGGTTCACACTCCCATCGTACAGCTCCAGGGTCTCCTCTATGGATCCTTCTGTTATCCCTTTCCCATCCTGGACCAGAGCATCCCCCTTCGGCTCCATCATCCCCATGCTGGCATCCGCCGCATCCTCTCCCAACATGACCCGCTCCTGGTCGGCCCCACTGCCCGGCGCTCCTTGGGGCTGGATGTGAGCCTGAGGCTGCCTCAGGGATGCATCTTCGGGGTCGTTTTCCCCTTTGGCATCCAAACTGGCTTTAGGGGCTGCGATCTCCGCGCGAGCCTCATCTTTGGGATGCTTCCCTGGCGAGCTGTCCCCATGGACCTCCCCTACCAGCAGGTCACCATGGCCACTTGGCTCTGCAAAGACAAAAGGAGGCAGTTAAACCCTTGCCTGCTGCACACCCCATTTCAAGAGGGGGTTTTCCTCCCCTCCTTACATGCTCCAGGGTCATAGTTTTGGGGGGGATTCCTGACCTGTGCAACCCTGGCATCAAGCACTTGTGATAAGATTTGAAGCCCTGGAGACTGTGGTGAAAACATAGCCTGTAAATGGGGGGGGGTCCCCGTAAATGGGGGGGGTCCCCTGTAAATGGGGGGAGCTCAGACACAGCACCCGCATGCAGTCGATGCTCTCCCCCATAGCCTGTTGCTGCAGAGCAGCAAGGCTCAGCACTGCTGTCGGAGTTCCTTAATCACAAATCCTGATCCATGACTTAATCCCTGCTACTCCAATCCCTGCCCCTAAATCCTTTTACTGTTTCATCTGTTCTTTGCTGTCAAAGGGATGGGGAAGGTCCTTATCATCCTGAAAGCTACACCCACAAAGCACCTAGAGCCGGGACCTCACTGTCACCTCCTCTCCTGCATCTCAACCAGGGGCTCCTGGCATAAGGCAGGAGGGGATGCTGGGATGCTCAGCACCACCAGGGACCCACAGCTCTCGCTGGGAACGGCAACAGGGCTTGTGCTGGGGAAACCTGTCCCATTGCACTGCTGCAACCCTGCCCTGGCACGCAGTGACAGCCACGGAGCGCATCGATTCGCAGGACGTTTGGATGCGGGATGCTCACAAGCTCCCCCCAGCACATCCCTGTTCCTCCGATGGGGCATTCGCACCCAGCTCACGTTCACTGGGGAGGGAGGCTGGCGAAGGAGGAAAAGTGAATCAGGGCTAACCCAGGACACGGAGCCAGCCGACGGCTTGCGGTTGGCATTAGTGGTGTCCAGGATGCTAAAAGCCATGCAAATGAACCAGGAGGGGCTGTGTGAGTGCAGGAAACCCTCCCTCCGCCTGCAAAAAGGCTCCCTCCGAGCACACATCGCTCTGCTGCCCCAGGAAACGCCTCAGTAAACACAGCCCAATGGATGTGTACTCGGAGTGCAGCCAGGGGATGGTCCGAGGCAGCGCCTGCCGGGAGCAGGGAGAGCCTCCTTAAACAGATCCCAACTTGGAGCTGGGATGGTTGGAACGGAGACAGCGCTGAGGAGGGAGCAGACTTCAAAGGGAGGGCAAAAAGGCACCTTTTGAATGCGTTTTCCATTCCCACCGGCCGGCTCTGCAGCTGCTGTTCTCACAGACGGGAGCCCCCATCCCGGTTTCCAACCCGAGCAGGGAGTAATTGCTGCTGGAATAACAAGCAGCCGGCACGCAAACCACCTCTGCTGGCTGGGATGGCTGCAGGGCAGGGAGAGCAGGAGCGCTCAGAGCCACCATTCCTTCGGCAGCATGGGAATCATAGCTCAGCTCATCCCCTCCTTCCTACCTGCATCCCAGAGCTGAGGAACTGGGATGGACTGGGACACGGAGGGTGGGGGTGAAGGAGAGGAGCATCCTGCTGCGGTAGCACCGTCCCTCCTGCAAGTTCAGTGGGGTTTTCTCCCCTTATCAGGGGAGGGCCTGGCCATGAAACCCATAGAAATCCCTTTGTGTGTTCTCTGAGGAGAGCAGGACAAACCCCCCTGTAAAGCAGCCCCAAAGGTGATGGGGCTTCCAGTGTCTGAAGGGGGCTATAGGGATGCTGGAGAGGGACCTTCATCAGGGATGGTAGCGATGGCACAAGGGGTGATGAGTTCAAATTGAAACAGGGGAGGTTCAGGTTGGAGATAAGGACCAGCACAGCAGCAAGGCTCAGTGCTGCATCCATCCCAAACACAGATCCAATGCAAGGCACCCTGGATCCCTGCAAACAGCACTTGTAGTGGCTGTGCACGGAGTACGAACGGGCTCCTGGTCCGGCCAGGGGATATGACACAGTGAAAACAGGGATTTATCCTCTCCAAGCACAAACACACACGCAGGACAGGCTGGCACCGCTGTAATAGCCACTTTGTGCTGTGCATTTTAATCCTTAGGCCCATCCTCCTTAGGCTGCAATGAAGCACAAGCACGGACCAACCCAGCAGCTTGAAGCAGAGCAACTTGGCTGCAGCAGTGCCCTTTTCATCCCACATCCAGCACCCATCAGAGCAGCGCCGCTCCCCACACTGCCCTCAATGCGAAAGGCAGCGAGAACAACCCCTGCACTATCCACAGCACAGGATGTGCGCCCGGTGCTTTCAGCCTGGGCTGACGTAGCCAACGGCTCCGTTCCCCTCTTGCCTTTCCGCTTTGTTTCGCTGCCGTTGGTCTATTTTTAAACCTATTCTCTCAGAACGAGCATCCTGGCAGAGCGATGCTGCCGCTAACGCGCCGGAAAGCACGTGCCCTGCGTCAGGGTAACAGCAGGAGCAGCCCGGGAGCGCCAACGGGTCCATGTTGGCTGTCTCTGCTCGTTTCCTTGCACACAGTATTCCTTGCTCTGGGAGACGGCCGGAGAGATGGCACTGAATGGCAGCACGAAGCGCAGCCGAGGTGATGGGATGGAGGAGCAGGGTTAACGCAGCCCTCAGCTGCACGCAGAGCATCCATCCCCTGTGTCACAGCTCCTATCCCTGCCTATTCCCATGCAAGGCTGAGGCTGCAGCGCCTGTTCCCCAGCCTTGCTGAGCCAGGAGAGGCTGCATCCACCCGTGTTCCTGCTGCTCCTCCTGCAGCAGCGATTCCCCATCAGCTGGTGCGTTCCTGACATGCAGCCATTTCACGGGATCACCTCCCCATCGCCACCGCTCCTGATCTGCAGCCAGGCGAAGGGCGCACGCTGCTGCAGAGCAGTGCTGCCAAGGTGAGGGCTGAGCCGATGGATTCAGCACCCCGGGGTGCCCCAAACTCACACCCACGCCTGGGAGATCCCTTCCCTCCATTTCAGACACCGAGGGGATGCAGGGAAGGGATGGAGCTGGGTTCTGGGGCCCTGCTGTTTCCAACACCCTGCTCTCCATCAGCCACCTCAGATAAACAGCTTGTGCCAGAGATCAGCCTCTAACACTGCGACCTTTGTGTGCTGGCTCCCTCGCTCCATGCCTGGCTGGCATCAGGGAACTGCTCATCCCAGGGTAAGGGCATACACCAAGCAATGTGCTTCCCTAAGGCAGAAATGATCTTCAGACCTGCCAGGAAAGCCTCGATCTCCCCTTTCCTTCTCCCCAGGCATTATCCCTCAAAGTAAAAACGCCTCTATCATCCCTGCTTACAAGGACGATTCCAAGAGCTGCGACTATGGGAAGCATGGACCCAGTGCTGCCTCTCAAGGAAAATGAACCTGTGTTTCCCACAGGCACCCAGATCCATCCCAACAGCAGAACAACACCGCAGGAGGTGGCAGCCCACAGCACCCTGTTACTGCCGAGGCCACCCAGCACTTGGGCTCCTGGTCCCATCTGAGCTCACACAGACCGTGCCCACAATTCCCCCTTGGGAGAAGGTGTGATGGTGGGAGTGAGCTGGTCCCCAAAAGGCCAAGGATTAACAGGGAGCCACAATGGTACACGACACAGGGACAAACCAGCAACAGCACCGAGGACCCCTGCACTTCCAGCAGCAAAAAAAATCACAGTTTCTCCACAAACAGGGCTCAGCAGCATCTTTAACGGCAGCAAAGGATGCTAACTGCAGGGGAATGAGAGCACAGCCCTTTGCCGAGTGGCATTTGAGCCACGCAGGCCATTAACCACAAACAATGTGGCAGGCATTATTCAGAACAAGCCACTTCTCCTGCGTGCCCCCACCCGGCTCTATTCATCCGTAGCCCAAAAACAGAAGGAGATGATGACTCCTTACCCCGGGTCCCGGCTTCGGGCTCCAGCGGCGGCTCCTTTAGCAGCGCGCTGGTCGGCGTCCCTGCTTCAGGGGTCTCAAAACTATCTTTGGAGTCCGAGCTGCCGAGGAGGGGGGGAAAAGAGGGAGGAATTACCGCTTGCAAGGCTTAGCTCCGCAATCCTCCTCGCTGCCCGCACCGCCGGGCGGGCCAGCTCCCGGCCGGCCGCGGGCATCCTGCGGCAGCCGCTCCGTCCATGTCCAGCGGCACACGCTGGCAAACGGAAAAGGGAGAGCAGGTGAAACGACATCGTGAGTGCCCCCCCCCCACACACCTCTACGTGTGCCCCCAACCCTCCTCTCGGCCGAGCATCCACGAGTCCTTCCATCAGGCCTTCCCCTTGGGCATCCACCGAGGGCCACAAGATCCGGCTGCACACTCAGCATCTCCCCATCCCCGGAGGGGCGATCCTCGGTGCTCACACCTTGTGCCCCCCCCCCCCCCCCCAGCATCAACCCGGGGCAGCAGCGACCGGTTCCCCTCCGGTGCCCCCCCCCCTCCATCGGGCAGCGGAGCTGGTGCCAGGCAGCGAGCGGGCAGCGAGCAGGCAGGGAGCGGGCAGCGGAGTGGGGGGAGAACGGATACGGGCGCGGTCGCAGCCCCGACACCACGCGTGGACGCGGGTCACTTGCCTGAAGCCGAGGGCCGGGTCCTCTTCCTCCTCCTCCTCCTCCTCCTCCTCCCCGTCGGGGCTGCCGCCGCCCCGCACCGCGGACCAGGTCCAGCGGGCCCACTGCACCGGCGAGAGGATCTGCCAGGCGCTGAACGCCATCGGCCCGCTCCGAGCCCCCGTTCCCTTCCCTTCCCTTCCCAGCCCCGCTCCGCTCCGCTCCCCGCCGGGCTCGCTGCGGCCGCGCCGCCCCCAGCGCCTCCCCCGGGCTGCGGGGAGGGAGAAGGAGAGGCCGCCCCCCGGCACCGCCCGGCGGGAGGGACCGGACGGGGAACCCCCCCCCCCCCCTTCTAGCAGCGCCCAGCGAGGGGGATGTGGGGCGGGATGCGGGGGATGATGCGGGCACCCCGCGCCCCCACCCTGCGGGTGGGTGTTGAGGAGCTGCTGCTCCTCCTCCCTTCCCTCCCCTCCCCACGCAAACGCCCAAATTCACCTCTTTCTGCCCCAAAATAAGGGCACCCCCTGCCCATCACCAGCCCCAAACCCACCCCCCACCCCCCCACTCAGCGGTGAAGGACATTCCCCCCCCCCCCCAGCTAAGAGAGCAGAGGGCTGTGAAACCGGATCGGCCCCGATTTATCCCACGTTTATGGGGCTGCACCTGTGCTCTAGCACAGATTCCTTCCATTCGGGGTGTGCCAGTGGCCCCCCGAGGGGGCCGAGCCGGGCGCAGCGGATCCTTCCCTAGGATTCAGTCGTAGGGGGACAGGGAAACACCGGCCCCCTCCTTCCATTTTCCAAGGAAATGCCGGCCTCGGCAGCCCTGGCTGATGCCGCATCCTGGCTGATGCAGGTTTCTTCATGTATTTAACTATTGGCGTTCCCTGCAGGAACAAACACCCCTGAGGGCCTCCCATGGGAATCTGCCCCCTAAGGACGGCTCCCACATTCCTTATCTCCCACAGAGCGGAGCAGAACTTTCCTGATGCATCCAAAGGAATGTCCAGGGCTTTGGCAACGGAGCTGCAGCTTCCCGCAGCCCTCCCACGTCATCCTGGGGCAGGTCCCAGGGGTGCTGTGCTGCCAAACCAGCCCGTCCCGTTGTGAAGAGGCCCTGTTGGCCCTCCATAACCGCCCCATGTACTCCCATGGCAGGCTCAGACCACTTCCTGGTGAATCATCCACCAGCTCCCGGCCCAGGAATGCATTCGCATGGGCAGAAAGGCCTGGGGGTCAGACCGGACCCGTCCAGCGCGTCCGGCCACCTCCACTACCAGCCTCCAGCAGATGCTTCAAAGGGCTCATTCCTCATCGCAAATAACCCCCCTACAGGGAGCCTTTCCTGCGAGCTTCCATCTGTTGGTGTCCTTATTAAACACGTGCGTCATTGCTGCGCGTTCTCGCTGCCCTTCTGCCAAAGAAGAGCCCCTGTCCCCTTACACAACGCTTGCAAAGGCACCCCCACATCCCCAGTCACCCCTCGGCTGCAGCCCAGCAGCGCTGTGGGCCTCGCTCCCTGCTGAGGATGCTGCACAAGAGGGGGCAAAGTGAAACCCCAGAGGCTGAGGCAAAAGCAGAAGCTCCACATCCTGCCGCCTCCATCTGCTGCGAGCAGAAATGAGCAGCGGCTTCCTGCCATCTGCAGATGAATTTTACATAAGGGCAGCTCTGCACGCTGCAGCATCCGCTCCCGCTCCCCATTCCCACCGGGAACGGGAGCCCAAATCCCTCCCGACCGAGGAAACTGGCTGGAGCAGCGGCTGATGCCTGCAGGAATGGGATTGAGCGGCAGCAGGAGCGGGATCAGCAGGATTGAACCACGCAGCGGCGGCAGCATCAGAGCTCCTGCCCTGCAGGGCGCTGGGGTGGGAAGATACAGGAGGAATGCAAAGGCAGATCCGGCTTCCACTTGATGAGCAATTAAGGCAATGCCTCCAGTGCCATTTTCCAGCTTGGCACCAGCACATCAGACATCAGCAGATAACCTCACCGCAGCAGTGGCACCGCTGCCACTGGCTGCCAAGTGCTGCTCAGCACGGTCAGCAGACACAGAGAGGACCCTGAGCTGCTCCCAAGGAGACCTGCAGCGGTTCCCATGCGCAGGGTGAGCTGCAGCTTTGTGCTCACCTCCTGCCCCAGCCCGGGACGTCACCGTGTGCAGCCACGGTGGCTCAGGGGTAGGCAACGATGTACAGCCCAATGTACAGCCTGAATTACCAATGTACAGCCTGAATTACCAATGTACAGCTTAAATATTGATGTACAGCCCAAGGTACCAATGTACAGCCTGATTTACCAATGTACAGCCCGAATTACCAATGTACAGCCTGAATTACCAATGTACAGCTTAAATATTGATGTACAGCCCAAGTTACCAATGTACAGCCTGAATTACCAATGTACAGCCCAAATTACCAATGTACAGCCCAAGGTACCAATGTACAGCCCAAGTTACCAATGTATAGCCCGAGGTACCAATGTACCGCCTGAATTACCAATGTATAGCTTAAATATTGATGTACAGCCCAAGTTACCAATGTACAGCCCAAATTACCAATGTACAGCCCAAGGTACCAATGTACAGCCCAAGTTACCAATGTATAGCCCGAGGTACCAATGTACCGCCTGAATTACCAATGTATAGCTTAAATATTGATGTACAGCCCAAGCTACCAATGTACAGCCCAAGGTACCAATGTACAGCACAAGGTACCAATGTACAGCACAAGGTACCAATGTACAGCCTGAATTACCAATGTACAGCCCGAATTACCAATGTACAGTCCAAATTACCAATGTACAGCCCAAGTTACCAATGTACAGCCCAAGTTACCAATGTACAGCCCAAGTTACCAAGGTACAGCCCGAATTACCAATGTACAGCCCAAATTACCAATGTACAGCCCGAATTACCAAGGTACAGTCCAAATTACCAATGTACAGCCCAAGTTACCAATGTACAGCCCAAGTTACCAATGTACAGCCCAAGGTACCAAGGTACAGCCCAAGTTACCAAGGTACAGCCCAAGTTACCAAAGTACAGCCCAAATTACCAAAGTACAGCCCAAGTTACCAATGTACAGCCTAAATATCAATATACAGCCTGAGTTACCAATGTACAGCCCAAATTACCAATGTACAGCCTGAATTACCAAAGTACAGCCCAAGTTACCAATGTACAGCCTGAATATTGATGTACAGCCCAAATTACCAAGGTACAGCCCGAATTACCAATGTACAGTCCAAATTACCAATGTACAGCCCAAGGTACCAATGTACAGCCTGAATTACCAAAGTACAGCCCAAGTTACCAATGTACAGCCTGAATATTGATGTACAGCCCAAATTACCAAGGTACAGCCCAAATCACCAATGTACAGCCCAAATTACCAAAGTACAGCCCGAGTTACCAATGTACAGCCTAAATATTGACGTACAGCCCAAATCACCAATGTACAGCCTGAATTACCAATGTACAGCCCAAGTTACCAATGTGCATCCTAAATATCAATATACAGCCTAAATATTGATGTACAGCCCAAGTTAACCAATGTACGTTCTAAATATCAATGTACAGCCTAAATATCGATGTACAGCCTCTCACCACCCTGTCCCAGCACCCAGTCTCTGCCTTTGGGATCCATGCAAAGGCCAATCCATGGATACAGGAGCTGCTGCTGTGGCAGCACGGTGGTCCTCAGCCCTGGGAGGCTCTAACCACGGGCAAGTCTTGCTTAGTCACTATTTGTCCTGGCTTTGCCTCTGTTTAAGCAAATACCATGGGTTACCTAAGTGACATCCTCCATCAGCCCTGCAAGCACAAGGGGAGATGCCCCAAGAAGGGATTGTCGGGGTTCTTGCAGGCCTTTCCCTGTGGATCACCGGCCTGGGTGATGGCCAAGGGCCACCACACTGCTCTGGGAAGGAGAGCTGGATGACAGCTTTCCATGGAAGGGGAATGCAGCAGCACTCTGCCTCCAAGCAAGCAAGTGGAGACTCAAAGGATCTGGAGCTGGAACAGCTCCTGGCATCATGGAGGCTGCAAAAGGATGCAGAATCCTCCTCACACTTCTTATGCTGATCCTTGCAGGAAGCCAGCTGCATCCAGGGATAGGAGCTCTGCATCCAGGGGTAATAGTTCTGTATGCAGGGATATCAGCTCTGCATCCAGGGATAATGGCTCTGTATCCAGGGATAGTGGCTCTGTATCCAGGTATAGCAGCTCTGCATCTGCGCATCCGGGACAGCATCCCAAAGCATCCCCCAGGCCCAACAGCATCCCAGGACATTCCCTGGGAACTCCAAGCCTAAGGAAACTCCTTTGGGACTCTGTATTACTCAAGGACAACGGAGTTTAAGCACTGAAAGGAGGCGATTTGGCAGCTACCAAAACCAAAGCCAGTCTTGAGCTCTTCTAGGAACGGCCGGATGGTGTCGCTTGTGGATCGTTAATTCCAGACTAAGCGCTCTACCCGGGAATGAGGCGGGCAAAGGGAAGGAGGATTCATTGGAATGGACCCCAGGATGCCGGGAGGCTCCTACGCAGTTACAACAGGTTTTAATGCCAGCTCCAGCTTCGGGACTTGCTAACTTGGATGAGCCTTTTGGACCTTTTGTGCATGAAAGGCAACAGGTTGCTTTAGGAGTTCTGGCTCAAAAGGTGGGATCCTGGAAGAGGCCTGGATCCAGTTAGAAAAGGATGGTCTGCCTCCTGTTCTTATGCAAGGGGCCTGAAGACTGATCTGGGGACAGAAGATGGTAGCAAAGGTACCACACGCAGGACATCGGTGTCCCCCAGCAGGATGATGAAGCACCAAGTGGTGCTGCTAGAACAAGATGCTATAGAATTAAACCTCACAAACACTGTCAATCCAGCTCATACCGGGGAAAACAGAACCTGAACACGATTGTTTTACAGACTATTGAACAGGAAAAAGTGATTTGAAAGGGGTATGGGTCAAGAAGTTGTTAGTTGTAGTAGATATTGGGGCCAAATATGGGGCCAAAGTGCCCCAGAAGAGGAGGAGGAGGAAGAGAGCATCCTTAGACCGAGGATGTCAAGAGGTTGGCAAGATAAAGCAGGACTGTCCTCAATGTCCTCCTCTGTTGGGGTACCCGCTCCCAAACAACCCTCCGAGACCCCGCACACAAGACTTTGCTTGCTCAGCACATCCCGGCGCAGGCG